CTGGAGATGACTGTGCTAAAGAAGGTCAAAGAGCTGCTGGCAGAGGTGGACGTGAAGACACTGGCCAAACACATCACCAAAGTGGACTGCCTGGTATGGCCAGGGCCTGGAGGGAGGGATGGGTACTGCTGCCCTCCAGTCGATCTGGGCTGGCAGGGATCAGTGCATCCCTGAGCATCAGACAACCCCTGAGCTCTGGAGCATCCCTGCTGGGTCTGCCTGGTGTATCAGCCAGGGCAGGCAGAAGCTGGGCTGGGGCAAGAGGCTGCCGAGGACACTTCAGCCTCTCCTCAATTAACAAAGCACTAATCAGCATTCACCTTCCTTGCCAGGTCGCCCGGATATTGGGTGTGACAGTGGAGATGCAGCGGCTCATGGGGGTGAGCTCTGGCATGGAGCTGCTCACCCTTCCCCACGGCCACCAGCTCCGCCTGGACCTGCTGGAACGGTACGGCACAGCACGGCCACAATGAGCCCTGCACGGCCTGGTCCAGCTCCCCTGGGTGTTCCCAGCCTGGCACAGGGTGGGGAGAGGAGGAGCCCTGTCTAAACCCCCAGAGCATCCCCTCCCTGTGCTGACCCCGCTCTGTGTCTTGCCCCTTGGCAGGTTTCACACCATGTCCATCATGATCGCTGTGGACATCTTGGGCTGCACAGGCAGCACGGAGGAGCGGGCAGCCCTGCTCCACAAAACCATCCAGCTGGCTGCCGAGCTGAAGAGCACCATGGGGAACATGTTCAGTTTTGCAGCTGTAATGAGCGCCCTGGAAATGACACAGGTATGGGGACACTCCTTTAGTGCTCATGTCCTAGGCTCAGCCCCTTGCTCGAAATGCATCCCTCTCCCTGTGTCCTGCAAGCTCCAAGAGTCATTGGGATGGGTGAAAGGGGAAAATGCCCCCGGGTGGGAGGCATGGGGCCACATCCGCTGGGATGCAAGCAGGGAAGGGGAAGAGCCATCCCCTCCACGGAGCAGACAGCCTAGTCCCGCCAGGATCCAATTGTTTTTCGGTGGTTGGGCTCTTTGTTTTGTGCTGGGCTGTGTTCCTGGGAGGAAATGAATCTGCCCTCCAGTACAATACAAATCAGTCTCAAGGCTGTGGCAGCAGCGTCTCCAGGCCACACTGCTCCCTTTGGAAGATGAAAGGAGATTAAGATTCAATTTTAAATCGAGCCCAGCTGGGAAGTCTTGCTTCCTGCCTGCACAAAGGAGGTGGAATGGCTGCCCCCTCCCTGCATCTCATCTTCAAGGCCGATGCGACGCAGGGAGGTTGCTGTCCTGGGGCACGGGCAGGGGAAGAACTCCTAAGCCCTGCCTCAGTGCCAGAGCTGTGCCGTGTCTGGCCATGAGCACTGGTGGAGGAGGCTGGTTTTGGGAGCACCAGGCGCCGTTGTGTGCAAGGCTGGGGACTGTGGCTCCAGGGTCAGGCTGTTCTCCCTGGTGCCTGGAAGCTGTGCTGCCCCAGCACCTTCTACCTGCCCCGTCTCCTTTCAGATCGCCCGGCTGGAGCAGACCTGGATGGTGCTGCGGCAGCGGCACACCGAGGGTGCAATCCTCTATGAGAAGAAGCTTAAGCCATTCCTGAAGAACCTGAATGAAGGGAAAGGTAACAGGAGCAACTCCCCTTGTCTCACTTGCTTTCTCCTTCCCACTTTTGTCTGGGCACGGCGTCACTGTTTGAGAGCTCTGACCCTCTCCCAGCTAGTGCCAGACACCCTCTGGCTGCTGAACCACCCCAGCACTCAGCAGAGCCCGTCTGGCCTTGTTTGCTCCTTCCTTCCCTAGGAAACATTTCATAACTAAATAAAACCAGCTGAGCCAAACCGTTGTGCTCGCATGGCAGTGAGTGCCAAACCAAGGGACAGGCCAGCCACTTGGAAAGATGAAAAGCCATGGGTCTCTAATGCCTGGTGCCCTGTGGTCTGCAAACCTGCTCCTCATTGCAGCCTGAGCATGGCCATCAGCTTTCTCTTCCCCAGCAGAGCCAGAAACCCTGGCTGGGAGGAGCTGGTGTTGGACAAGGCAATGGCCCCAGGCACAGGGATGGAATAGACACAGCAGCTGCTGTGTCCAGCTGAGCCTGGAAGCCTCTCCTGGGAGCATGGTGGCAGCCTGGCGTCACGGCAGCGTTTGGCCACACGAGCACTCCACAGGGAGATGGGGAGGGGGACGCAGGGCCACGGGGCCATGAGGGGTCCTAAGAGTGCCTCTCTCCCCAGAAGGGCCACCGCTGACCAACACCACCTTTCCCCACGTCATACCCCTGGTGACTCTCCTGGAGCGGGATGAGGCTCTCACGGAAAGCCCCGAGCCCTGGGAGGCCACGGACAGCGGCGTGGAGGTGGTCATGGCCCACCTGGAGGCAGCACGGATGGTGGCTCACCATGGGGGGCTCTACCACACCAATGCTGAGGTGAAGCTGCAGGGTAAGCACTAGGGACAGCAGAGCCCCTTTCCCTCTGCCACATTCCCAGCACCAGGATGGAGCATCCCACAGGTGCAGGGGGTGCCATCCCAGGGATCTGACTCTCCCTCTTGCAGGTTTCCAGGGCAAAGCGGAGCTGCTGGAAGTCTTCAGCACCGAGTTCCAGCTGCGACTGCTCTGGGGCAGCCGTGGGGCTGAGAGCAGCCAGGCTGAGCGCTACGAGAAGTTCGACAAGGTCCTCACTGCCCTGTCCCACAAGCTGGAGCCAGCAGTGCGCTTCAGCGAGCTGTGAACCCCCCCAGGCCCTCGGAGACCCCCAGCTCCCAGCCTGCATCCCACCACTGGCTGTGGGGCAAGGGAATGGACCAGGCACCCAGCATCAGGAGGAGGAGAGATGGCCCAGAAAGGCACAGGCACAGGTCGGCAATTTTGAGACAAAGAGGAGGAAAAGCAGCCACTTCAAATGTACCACCCACCTCTTCAGGACACAAGGCAGGGGTCCACACTGCTGCTCTGAAGAGTGGGGACCGTGTCTGGGCCAGCCAGCGCTGGCCTCCACACCCACCCCTGCCGAGGTCTACATGGTGCCCCTCACCTCACCCTTTGGTTTTGTTTTTTTCCATCTCCATCTTGCCCACAGCTGCTGGATCCTGTGTGTAAATATATTTTCACGATTACTTCTTGATGTACAGACTTGTGAAGGACAGTCCTTGTTGTAAATAATTAGGCTTATTCATTTTGTCATGTAAATACATGTACATATCTCATGGGTTTGGTTCTTACATACAATAAACTTTTATCCCGTTCCTCAAGGGGGACACCCTGTCCTCTGGGTGTCCTTTAAAGGAGCCCCCCTGGGGGAGCAGAGCATGGGAAGGATGGGAGGAATCACCATGCTGAGCCTGGCCCCAGACCCCATGGTGGCCCAGTGACAGCCCTTCTGAGGAGGGCTGTGTGGTGTCCAAGAATGGTTCAGGTTGGAAGGGACCACAGTGGGTGGTCCCACCTGGTCCCACCTCCCTGTGGACTCCACGCCCTTTGTGGACAATCTGTTCCAGTGCATGGTCACTGCACAGTAAAGAAGTTTTTACTTGTGTTCAGGTGGAACTCCTGGGCATCGGTTTCTACCCATTGCCATATATATACATATATATATATATGAGCAGAGATGCAGGATCACCTCCCTACCTCCCTGACCAGCTGGCAATACTCTTCCTAATGCACCCCAAGATCACACTATCCCACTGGCCTTGTTGGCCCTCAGGGCACACTGCTGGCTCACAGCCTGCTGTGCACCGGGACCCGCAGTCCTTTTCTGCAGAGCTGCTTTCCGTGTCAGCCTGCAGCCAGCACCAGTGTTCGGGGCTGTTCCTCCCTGGGTGCAGGACCCTGCATTTGCCCTTGTTGGATTTCAGGTTTTTCTCTGCCAGAGGGTCGCGGGTCCCCTTGGCACGAGGGGACAGGGGGCACAGGGGGGCACGGGGACCCTGCCCAGCTGGGAGGCGGGGCCATACGGGCTAGGCCCCGCCCTCTTGGTGCATTGCCACGCCTCTTTCCCCATAGCCGCGTCTTTCTGGCCCCGCCTCCGCGTGGGGCACGCTGGGAGTTGTAGTGCGGGCGGAGCGGGAGCCGCGGCCGCCATGGCCCCCGGAGCGGCCCCGGCCCCGGTCCGGGTGCTGCTGGTGCTGCTGGCGGCCGCCGCCCGCCCCGCCGCCGCCTGGGACCTGTGGGGGCTGCGCTGCGGCTTCTCGGCGGACTGCGAGTGCGGCTTCGGGCCCGACCTGCGCGGTCAGCGGGAGCGGCCGGCCGGGATGGGGGTCTGGGGGCAGGGGAGCCGGGGCACGCTGGGAGTTGTAGTGCGGGCGGAGCGGGAGCCGCGGCCGCCATGGCCCCCGGAGCGGCCCCGGCCCCGGTCCGGGTGCTGCTGGTGCTGCTGGCGGCCGCCGCCCGCCCCGCCGCCGCCTGGGACCTGTGGGGGCTGCGCTGCGGCTTCTCGGCGGACTGCGAGTGCGGCTTCGGGCCCGACCTGCGCGGTCAGCGGGAGCGGCCGGCCGGGATGGGGGTCTGGGGGCAGGGGAGCCTGCGGCGGGGGGCGCGCAGCGGCCGAGGCCGGGCGCAGCCGGCGAGGGGACCCGGGAGCCAGCGCTCCGGGAGCATCCCTTGGAGCGGGGTCTCTCGGCCGCGCGGCAGCCGGGGATGACGAGGCCCAGCGGGGCGGCCCCCAGGGACGGGACGAGCGAGGACAACCCGCGTTCTCCAAGCCCTGGTTTCACTTCGTTTCAGGTCTGGAGTTTGACTTGGCCACGAATCTGGTGGGACAGCCCCTGGTGAGGCAGCAGGTGATGAAGGGGCTGAGGGAGTTCCTGGAGAACCCGAATCCAATGAAACCCCTCGTGATGTCCTTCCACGGCTCGACAGGAACAGGCAAAACCTACGTGAGCTCCATGCTCATCCGCTACCTCTTCCAGAGGGGGCTCCAGAGCCCCTATGTTCACCACTTCTCCCCCATAGTGCATTTCCCCCACGCTGAGCAGATAGAGCAGTACAAGGTAAGGGACACCGCTCAGCAGTGCCACTTCACTGGGGGGGTTTGGCTGTGTCTGGCTTGATCCTCAGTACATATGCATTCAAGCTGTTTCCTGAAGTGCAGTAGGAATAAAAGCTTTTTGTTTTACCCTCTCAGACAAACATAGCTGAGAGAGTGGCTCCATACACTGGCTGAAGGATGCACTAGTAACTACAGGATACTCAGTTATTACTTTCAGCCTCTCCACAGCAGTCCCTGCCTTGATCGTGTTCTCATTCTTAAATATTTACACAGCTCTTTGAACACACAAACAAAAGTGATTTGGCTTAGATGAAAGGCACTAAAATTTTCCCAATGCTTTCCAAACAGCCTGATGGCTGTAAAAAGCTGCATATCACTAGACGTGTAATCCCCTCCTCACAGAGCACACAGCTCCCCAACAGCAGCTCCAGACTCTCCATGGTGCCGTTCTGTCTCTTAGAGCTGAGAAAAGAGAGAAATCAAAATGCCAGATTTTCAGCAGAGTGGGAATTCAGCATACCTGGACCTTTAGTTTCTGGGTGTTTGGAGAAATTATTTGTTGTATTGTGTCCTTAAGGGAAATGCTTTTGGAAAAGTAAATCCCTTCCTGGCTGAAGTGCTTCATTTAGGACTTTCACATGCCCCCGGGCCATGTGAGTGGTTTTGTGTGGGCTGGGAAGTACCTTCAGCCACGATAAAGAGCTGTTCTGGGTCAGTGCAGGCACATGTTTCTGCATCAGAACAGGAGCTGGCAAGAAGCTGGGAACTGTGTAGATACAAGAGGGAACGAGAAGAACGTGGGGAGCTGTAGGAGTCTGAATCTCCAGCTTTAGTGTGCTGCCTCCTCCTCTACATCTGCATAAAAAGACCTACAATGGGCTAAAAAAGCTGGTAAACAGCCCCTGTGTGAAACCCAGACTAAAGGGGCCTCCGCAGCACTGGGTCTTTCAGCTCCAAGTGTGTGGTGCTGTGCAGGGACACGCTGCTCTCAGCACCTTTGGCTGTGCTTGAGCTCCTCCCTCAGCCTTTGCTCTGGGGTGCTTGAGCCTTCCTTGCCACCTCACTGCCTTACAGCTCGGTGGGTGTTTTTCCTAGGGAAGCCTGAAGCGCTGGATCCAGGGGAACCTGACCAGCTGTGGACGGTCAGCATTTCTCTTTGATGAGATGGACAAGATGCACCCAGGCCTGATTGATGTGATCATCCCCTTCCTGGGACCCTCCTGGGTTGTGTACGGGACCAACTACCGCAAAGCCATCTTCATCTTCATCAGGTGAGAGAGGCCTCTCCGTGGGGCCTTCCAGCTCACCGCTGCCCATTTGGGCAGAGGTCACTCCTACTTCAGGGCACAGCTTGTTTTGCCTTTCCTTCTCCAAGCTTGTTTTGCCTTTCCTTCTCCAAGCTTTGAGCCTCCAAATGCCAAGAGATGCTATCTCACTGTGAACAGACAGATCTGGAGAGTGTGAAAAAGCCTCCTCTGCTGTATTTGGCTGCCTCTACAGGAGTTATTTTGGGCCAGGCAGCTGGGAGCTGCTGGCTCGCACTCTGCAGGCTGGTGGGTGTCAGGTGCCACCTGAGACACCATTTTCCTGGCTACACAGTGGATAAGTCTCTCGTTCTTGTGCAGCAATGCAGGAGGGGAGCAGATCAACAACGTGACGTTGGCTCTGTGGCGTGCCCGCAAGGACCGGGAGGAGATCAGCCTGCAGGACCTGGAGCCAGCCATCTCCAAGGCTGTGTTTGAAAACCCTGAGAGTGAGTCCATGGAGCTGAGCTCCTCCTGTAGCCCCACAGCCCAGCACAGCCAGCCAGGCCTGTTCTAGGAAGCCACCCACACCACCTGCCACCTCCCAGGCAACCAGAAAGGGACAAGGGGGGTTTGAGGGATTGGAACTGTGATCCCCTTGAGATTTCCTTCCTTCTGAGCCAGCAGACCTGTTGCTATATTTAGCAAAGTTCTTGGGAGACAAGGTGTATTTGCAGCTGGGGGCTGGCAGACAGCACAGCACGCTTGCCAGAACAGCACTGAGCTGTATTGATCCCCACTGCCTGCCTGCATCTCCTTGCCTTGCCCTTCGCACAGGGAGCAGAGCTTAAATTCTGACTAGACAAGCTAAATCCCCCCATTCCTGGAGAATAAATCTGTCTGGGGGGGAGGTGACAACTGATGGGTTCAGAACCAGCAAGATCTCTCTCCAGCAGAGTATTTTGGCTTCTCACAAAGCAGCTCTGTGAATTGCAGGGACTGCAGAGACTCTCTGAAAGTAAAACCTTCTCTTCCTTTCCTTGTGCAGGTGGCTTCTGGAAATCTGGGATCATTAATGAACACCTCATTGATTTTGTTGTGCCTTTCCTCCCACTGAAGCACCACCACGTGAAGCAGTGTGTGGTCAGCGAGCTTGTGCAGCAAGGCCTCGAGGTACGCCCGGATGTCGTCCAGGAGGTGGCTGACAGCATCCCCTACTTCCCAGAAGAGGAGAAATTATTCTCATCAACAGGCTGCAAAACAGTGGCATCTCGCATCAGTTTTTTCTTCTAGTCACTGGCAAGGGCCTCTTTCAGATCCATATGGAGCTAGAGAGCACCCAGGGCTGGTGGGATGTGCAGTGGCAATGGTGTGTCACTCCCCACAGCACAAGTGCTCTCCTGCTGAACTCTCTCCAGCTCCAAGGAGCCCACTGCAGGATGCAGCTGCAGGACCAGGTGCAAATTATGTAATTTAAAGCACTTTACTGATTCACTCTTGGCCAGGTAAAGGTGGATCTACCACCTGAGACATGTGTGATGAGATGGGGAAGATGCTGAGAGGGTCTGCAGTGTCAGGGAGGTTCTCACCCTGTCCACAGCACCCATCCACAGCTCTCCCCACTTCTGGCAGCTGTTGATACCCAATACGTTAAGATTCTGAGCCCACAGAAGATTATTTCTTCCTTACAGCATTTTAACAGTTTTTTAAAAACCTTTTTAAGCATAGCTGTGCCTCAGCTCCTTGGCACAACATTAATATATTGGTGCTGACTCCTGTGAACACCTCAACATGGCAACCAAGTTTTCTTTTCAAGGAAGTTTTAGAGCCACCCACATTCCAGTTTCCTTTCACTGTGAATAGGTGCTTGGTAGCTTCAACACCAATGAGGGGGGTAATGTGAGAGGGGAACACCTGATCTGCCATGAGCAGGCTCCCCTACCACCCCTTCATCCATCTTTCCCCTAAGGGCCAAAGGATTTCCCTCTAGCAAACCAGGAAAACAACAACAAAAGACTTCTTGCTTGTTTTACCAGCGGTGAAGAATCTCATCCTACCTCCAGGGGAGCCCACAGCACTGCTAACGGTTTTGAAAATTCCTTTTATTCAGTGATGGTTTCTACAGCAGAGTTGGTGCTGGGAGCTGTGGAGATTCTTGTACATCCCTGTGCTGGTCAGACCTTGCAGGCTTTGGCTGGGCCAGCAGGTCTTCAGCTTCTGGGCAGTGTCACAATGGGGGACCTGGGGACAACTTAGAGAAGATTAGTGCTCCAGACTGTCAAGCATGGGATGCACAGCCTGGCTTTTGCCCTGATTTTAATATCCTTTATGCTGTTACTGCATAAGAGGTCAGAGGAACCAGAGTCATTCACTGGCTAGGAGCAGCCTGCTCAAGGGAGGGGTGTAAGGACACTTCAATGCTTCCAAAGCTCTGCTTGTTCCCTGTAGGGAAATGAGCTGCCAGTGCTTGGGACCATTCCAGCTTTGGGGATTTTAGATGGCACCCAAAGGCTGCCCAAGAGCTGGCCCAAAGACAGAGGCAAAAATTCCGCCTCTTGCAAAAATACGAATTTCTAATTTTAAAATAAATCTTATAAAAATGAAACAACTGAGGCGTTTACATGGATTCCTGACTGCAGGCAGTGTGGAAGGACTTGGAAGATGACCAGTTTCCAGCACAGTGAGGTGCTGCTGGGCTGGGGAATCGTCCCAGTGCCCTGGAAGCAAGCTGTGCCCTGCTGGCAGCGTGAGGACCTGGATGGGGGAAGGTGAGGAGAGACGTGTTCCCCCATCCAGCCCTCTGCCAAGGGCCAGCACGCGAGTGGAGACGGGACAGGCACAAACACACAAACCACGGGGCGCAGTGCGGGCATTCACCGCTCCTGCGAGTCCCTCGGGGCCTCTGCGGAGCTTCTCACGGCCTGCTCGGTGACAGCCCGTTAGCGCGCCTCGCCGTCCCCACCACAACCACCTCTAGCACCAGCCGCTCCGCGGGCATTGTCACAGCGGCGACACCGCCCCCGACACCCCGATACCGCCCGCGATACCGCTCCCGGTACCGCCCCCGACACCCCGGTACCGCCCCGCCGCCCGCTAGAAACATGGCGGTGCTGCCCGTAACCAAAATGGCGGCGGGGGCGAGGCGACGTGGGCGGGACGTTGAGCGGCGCGAGGGCGTGACGTCACGCTGGCCAGGAGGGCGATGCTGGCGGCGGAGGTGGCGGGGCGCGCGCGAGCGCTCGTGGGGCGGGCGGGACTGTGAGGGGAACGGGGCTGTGAGGAGAACAGGGTGGACCAGGACTGTGAGCCGAGCAGACGGAGCGGGGCTGTGAGGGCAGTGCCGGGGGGGGATCAGGTCATGGGCGAGCACCGGCACGGTCAGGGTTGTGAGGGAGGGACCGAGGCTCTGAAGAGGGACTGAAGGGAATGCTGTGGGGATTGAGGCTGTGAAGATCCAACCAGCTGTGAGGAGCATGGAGGGAGCAGGTCTGGGTCATGCTGGAGGGGATCAGGCCCGTGCAGGGGCCAGGGGCCTCATGGTGGCCCGTCAGAGCCCTGTTGACTCTGCCATGCAGGTGGCCGGCCTGGGCAACTATGGGCTGCGAGGCACACGGCACAGTGTGGGCATGGAGGTGCTGGACCAGCTGGCCCGGCAGCTGGCAGTGGCCGAGGGCTGGCGAGTGGACAAGCGGTGCTGTGCTGATGTGGCCCTGGCCACAGCCCACGGCCTGGAGCTGCTGCTGCTCAAGCCACGGAGGTTCATGAACCTCAACGGTCTCAGCGTCGCCAGTGCTGGTGAGCAACTGTGTCAGCCCCAAAGGCTCTAGTGTCACCAGCCTCCTGTGACAGCCCTGCTGTCTCCCTGCCCTCCACGGCTCACTGCAGCCCCACTCTGCAGAGTCAGGGCCTGGTGAGTCTGTCTCCCCCTCATTTCTTAAGTTGTATTTCTGTTTCCAAAGCTGAGATCTATAGCCTTGGCCCTCAAGACATTTACCTGGTTCACGACGACCTGGACAAGGCCCTGGGCAAGGTGGCCATCAAGCTGGGAGGCAGTGCAAGGTATGGGGTAGCCCCAGCTCCCTGGCTGTATGAGCTAGTTTGAGGCTTTAACATGCCCATACAGGTTCATGGGATATTCTTGGCCCCATCCCACCAGCCTTGCAAAGTTTCAGCTTTTGTTCTGGGCTTGATCTATTGCAGAGGCAGCAGCTGGCTGTTTGGGCAGCCTCCCAGTTCCTGCCCTAGCAGAGAGGGTAGAGAGCCTCCTGGAAGCAGCTATGGGCTGGATTCAGCCCACTGACAGCACCACATGGGCTTTTTATAGCACTCTGTCTCCACTGTGCCTGCCCGGTGCCAGACCTAGCTTTCCTATTTCACCTAGGAAAGCTTCCACTGCGGGATGGGGCAGGTACAGTGCTGGGCCCCAGTGCTCAGTCACACATGCACCAGCTGCAGCAAGAGCTGACACACACAGAACATGCTGTCCCAGCCCTGCTTCCCTCTAACCCCCAGCCAACTGCTCTGAGCCCCCAGGGCTGGATGTTCCTGCAGAACGAGGACATGGGGACTGCAGCCCTTGGCTGGGACCACATTCCCACATTGCTGCAGCAGGAGACCCCAGGGCTATATGGGGGGCTGTCCCTTTCAAACCAATTGTGGGTTTTCTCTTTCTCTCCCAAGGGGACACAACGGGGTCCAATCCTGCATCAGTGCTCTGCAGTCCAGTGTAAGTGAGCCCCAGGGGAAGGGGATCAATCCTGTGCCCCCATCAATGCATGGCTTGTTCCCCCACTCCCATTTTTCTGATTCCTCTTAGACAAGCCCCTGCTCCTTTTCCCCCCTGTTCTCCTTCCCCTTCTTCCTGGAGGGCTGTTGTCTGTTTGGCCGCCATGGAGGACATGGAAACAATTAGCTTGAGTGCCTCTGCCAGGCCTGGCAGGAGCCTGGGATCTCGGCACAGCCCAGCAAAAGCCTCTTCCAAAATTATGTTTCTTGGAGCAAGCACTCAAAACCAGCTGGAAAACATGAGGAGCTGCTCCATTGCTGCCCAGCCACACTCTCAGCACTGTCACCTTGCCTAGCTCTGTCTGAACACTTGAGGGGAAGCTCCCCCAGCTCTCTTCCTTCCTCCCCAGGAGATGACCCGGCTCAGGATCGGCATCGGGCGGCCAGAAGGTGATGTGACAGTGCCCGACTATGTCCTGTCCCCGTTCAGTGCTGGGGAGCGGGAGAAGCTGGAGCAGATCCTGGCCCAGGCAGTGACCTGCCTGCTGGAGCACATCCAGAGCCGAGCACCTACAGAGCCAGGGGACAGGGGCTGACACAAACCCACGGGGACGGACCCTTGTGGCTGATGGACAGGGTGCTGCAGGCACTCCGGGGTGACCGTGGTGCGGAGCAGAGCTGGCCCAGCTGGGCAGTGTGCTTGGGAGCTGGGGCAGCCTCCTTCCATCCCCACACCAATCCAGGCAGCTCATGTCCCACTTGAATCCCTGCAGAGGCTCCATACCTCAGTTTGGCACAGAAATTAAATAAACCCTCACCCTGACTCTGCCCTGCTCCTGCCTCTCTTCCATGCGCTGCTTGCCAGGCTTGGGTTGTCCTTGGCACTGCAGCTCAAATCTGTGTTCCCATCCCTGTTCGACCAGCACAGTCTGGAGGGAGGCTTCTAGTGAGAAATGGGGAGCAATAGGAGCTACTTCTGTAAATCCAAAGGTACTTCAGCTTTGTTGAGAAACTGGCAAGCACGGAGAGCCTGGAATCTCATAGCGTGCTGCTCCGACTGAGCTGCAGCAAGTTTCAGGGCTGGCCTCACAGTGTTTTTGAGTTCAGTGGTTTTGGCCAAAACCGTGGAGTTTCCAACAGCTGCAGGAGTTCTGGCTTCCCGCAGACCCGTTGCAGGTCTCGTGGAGGGCACAGACTGAGGCAGTGTGTCCTCACCACTGCTGTGTCCTAGAGTCCTGGCTGGGCCAGCATGTCCTGCCCAGCTCTGTATCCCAGGAATACTGAGACACCCAGCAAAGGCAGCTCCTCTCCTGCATCCCAGCAGGCACTGGGACACTTGCTGGCTGACAAATACCACAGTGTTGCTGTCGCTTCCATCCTCTGCTCCAGCTGGCACCAGACATTCTTCTGATCCATCCCAGCTCCCAAGCTCCTCCTGGAATACTGAGGCTGTCTGGACCAGGGGAAAAGCTGGGAAGCAAAAGTGTGCCCAACCTGTCATCCCTTTCTCACCCATGTCTATACTGGCTGGGACCCTCCACTTGCAGAACGTGCACTTGGCCATCTCCTCCCTGTTCTCCGTGAGATAGACTTGGATCTTCAGGTCCCTTGTGATCTGGAGCTGGTTGTTTTCCTTCAGGAGGTTCCTGCTGTAGCTGTTCAACCTGCCCCAAATGATGGTTTCCTGAATCCCTTGGTAGTCCCAGACATCTCACTGGGTTCTGCTACCAAGGCCTCCACCTGCTGCTCCATAACCTCCACTCCCAGGAGAGAGCTGAGCTCCATGAAGATGCCACCCACTTTTCCCACCCAGACCCTAAGGGTGAGCTTCAATCTTCCTCCCCGCCACCTGTCTCCTTCCCTCTCTTTCCCCTTTACAGATTTCATTCCCAAAGTTCCCAGCTGGGGGAACTGCTGGACCCTCACCCCTGCAGCACTGAGGTGACCCCTGGGAACTTGGGGCAATGCCAGCACCCAGCACATCAGCTCAAACAGTCTGCTTTAATCCTCCCTGGGCTTCCACCCAGGCATGGCATGAGGGACAAGCCCAGTCAGAGGCAGAAGGCCACCATGTGTGCCAGCCCAAAGTCCACTCCCCAAAGTCCAGGCTGGTGGGAGACGGCAGAGTTCGCGTTGATTGGGACTGTCCTGGAGACGTGACCTCAGCAGAGATGGAGCACAGCGCTCCTCTAGTCTCTCCACTTGGCAGGGAAAGGCTTTCCTGGGGCAAATCCTGCCTTGGGTGGATTCGTCACATGCAGATTCGAAGAACCCTCTGTCCAGATGTCCAGGGCAGCTGCATCTCCTGAGTGGGAGCGGGCAGTATAAGGTCCTGCCCATGGTGCTCCCAGCTGGATCACAATCCCTCATCCCTAGAAGACATGGACACAGACATCAGTGGTCACGGCAGGAGCAGCCCCAATGTGTTCACGCCTGCAGCCAAGGCAGTGGGACAGCTGTTTTCCAGCCTCCCCCGGTCTGGCAGCTCCCAGGGCAGTTCTGTTGCCAGGACAAGCAACCTCAGGCAGGGAAAGTCTGACCCGGCATTAACTGTGTCTGTGCTGCCCTGGGGCTGAGCCAGTGTGGGTCGCCTGCCTGCCTGCCTGGCCACCCCACAGACGCACAGCCCAAGGAGACCCACTTCTGAGGGGAGCAAGCAGTGCTGGGGCGAGACGTTCCTGTGGAATATGCCCCAGCTCTTTCCACACTTTTGCAGCAGGCAAAGGTGCGTTCTCCCTTCCTCACCTGAGGGGCTGGGGAGCAGCATGGACTCAGGGAGATGGAGAGCCCTGTCCCCATATCCCCTCCAGCCCAGCGCAGCCCCACATGGGACATCTGTGTCCCCACCCCTTTCCCCACCTGGATGAGACAGTCTGGTCTGTTTCCCAATGCTTTGAATCTGCCAGGGAGACCTGCTGCCCCATGATAAAAACAAGCTAGGCATGTGGGACACATGTGAACATGGCACGTGGAGGGAGACGCTCCCCAGCTGCCCTGTCCCCTGTGCCTGGGTCTCACGGCCTTGCTCACCATCAGAGCTCGTCACGGGCCGTGGAGCGGAGGTGGCCAGCACTGCCCCGTGAGTCCCTCAGTGTCTTCTGCGAGCCAACCCAGTCAGTCTTCTTGGCATCGTCATCCCAGATGGTGGAAGTCTCGGTGTCACTCAGCCAGTTGCTGTCCCCAGCATAGTGAGTGGGATAAACCAGGAGGGGGTGAGCCGAAAACACCAGCAAGTCCCGTGGGGAGAAGTGCCGCTTGTAATCCTCACTGGGGAAAGTAGAGCAGACCCGAGAGAAAAAACTGGCTTACAGAGCATGGCACAGAGGAGAAAACCAGAGCACTGGGAAAACCAAATCAACCATCTGGGAAAAGCTCCATGCAGTGCAGGGGATAGGGAGGGGTGTGGGGTACCCAGGCATGGAGCCGGGGAATGCTGGGCAGGGACTGTGGAGAGATTACAGAGAGGACAGGACCTGTCGCTCCGACCAGCTGGGGCCGGCTCTTGGCACAGAGTGGGTCTCTGGCACAGCATCCAGCTGGCCCTGAGACAGGGCTGTCTCGTGCTGTTATGCCTGTAAGCAGGGGGCTTCCAGCTGCTGCTGGTGCACATCCAGAGCCCTAATCCATCCCTCCGTCCACCTCCAGCCTGCCTTTTACATGCCTGATCCATGTGTTTCTCCTTCCTGCTCACTGGGTTTCCCAATCCCTTCTCTCCCAGGACACCACCCGCTGGTGCTCACTCACCCCCTAAATTGCCTCCCGCTCCCCAGACAAAGCCTTACCGCTGGCCCCCCACCCCAGAGAGGAGCATGAAAGTGCTCCAAATTGGGGCTGAGACCCCCAGCCAGGGGCAGGGGACCCCAGAGCCCCCCAGCACTAGGGTACAGGGGGCTGCTGCCTGCTCCTTGCCATGGGGCCAAGATCCTGTGCAGGGCCCACACCAAGCCCCAGCTCCATTCCCATTCCCCCCCCCATGCTGGCAGAGGGCCATTTTCCAGCGGCCAGTGGCCAGGCAGCGGCTGGCTAAGAATGAGCTCATGCTACAGATGTTTTCCTCCAGCATGAGTAACGCCTGCAAAGGGGGGAACTGGGTGAGGTGGTGACAGCAGAGAAGAAACACATTGTTCCACACTGGCATGGCCAGGCCAGCACCCTCCTGCACAATCTGCTCCTTACTTGGGGTGCTTGTCATACATGATGGGCAGATACTCGTCCACAGGCAGCATTTTGGAGAGGGGGTTGGTGGCCAGCAGCTTCCGTGCCCCATGGTGGGAGATGGCGTAGGCCAGTGTCCAGTACGAGTACCCGGCCACCACCAGGTTCCGCACGCCTTTCACAGGTGCCTCATCCTCGTCGTTCACCTGTTTCCTCCCCAGGTAGCTGTGGGGTGGCCAGGGAACCATGAGAGCCAGCCTTGGGGACCCCCACCCCACACCCCCTGGCCCCAGCACCTACATGAGGTCCCAGTTCTGCTGTGCCCGCTCCAGCTCCTCCATCAGCCGCTGCAGCCGTGCTGGGAAGGCAGCCTCGAAGCGCACATCATCCTCGAAGACCACTGACCGCTCCAACCTCTGGGACACGATCTGGGGGAGGGCACAGAGGTGCCAGCCTATCCCAGCACCCCTCTGGGCCATACTGGGGCCACTGACCCTGCAGGACATCCCTTCTCCCCAGGTCCTCCAGACATCTGTGATGCTCACAAGGTCCCTGCCCACTGCTGGTGGCCCTTAGGGACCCCATGGCTGCTGTGGCCCCATACCTCCTTCCAGATATTGTAGTGGCTGAGGAAGCAGCCAACCTCGCCCTTGGTGAGCGTGCGGCCGGAGAAGGGGTCGTAGTACCCGGGTAGCAAGTCCACACCCAGCACCTTGATGTCACTGCTGTTGAGGGTGCTGCAAGGAGAGGGGCTGCATCAGTGAGGTGTCCCACCAGACACTCCCCGTCCCCTCATCAGAGTGACACCGAGGGACTGGCTGAGTGGTCCCCCGATGGTCACCTGCCATCCACAGCATCCACCACCCGTGGAATGATCTCCAGCTCCTGCAGGGATGCTAGCATTCGCTGCCGCCGGTCTGGCCTCCGCACCAGGTTGATTAGGAAGATCTAGAGAGGAAGAGGAGAGCCCCAACAATGGGGCGTGTTGTCATGGAGGACACACAGTCTGCCCAGCTACTGCAGGATGGGGACACGTGCTTGCGTTTTGCCATGGATAGATGCAATCAGAGAGATGGATGCAATCAGAGGGATGGACAGGGGAACACAAGCAGCTCCACTGGGCACTTACTTCATCAAAACCCATTTTTGTGAGTGGCCTGGGCAGGAGAGAAATATGTCTGGAGCGCTGCATGGGGGGACCATCCACTGTGGAGAGAGGAGACACTCTTCAGTGGAGCCCAGATTCCCCTGGCTGGGAGCTGGTGCTGACAGCCCTGTCAGGACCTAGAGGCCTCCAGGACTTCTCCACCCATGGGCACTCACCCATGGCCTCCAGCATGAGATGCACGAAGTTGGCATGATCATCCTCCAGTGTCTGGTGGGCCTTCACAGGAACGTTGATGTAACCAAAGTGGTGCTGGTTGCACACGTGGACCTCCACACCTGCCGGATGAGACAGGTGAGCAGCACAGCCCCCCCAGCCCCTGCAGCCCCCAAAATCCCCATCACCCTCACCAGCCTCCTGGCAGGAGTAGGCAAAGACAATGATGTCATCAAAGGCCCAGGTGTAGTTGGGGTGGGGTGGGTAGAAAGCCAATTGCAAGGTCTCCTCCTTCCGCAGGTCGATCAGGAAGGTGGCATAGACCATGGGGACACGGAAGCAGCCCAGCCGCTGCCGGTTCTTGGTGGGGAAGTAGTCGGCTGTCCGGCGATAGAATCCCTGCGGTAACAACCGGCACAATGCCCCCATGGCAGAGTGCTCCTCCACCATGGGCTGTCTCATTCTGCGGGGCTTTCTGGGGACGTACCTGGGGTGTGATGCCACACCAGAAGTTGGAGTAGAAGGTCTGTGAGTCCAGCATGGGGGCCACCACTGACTTGTTCTGCGCCATGAGAAACTTGAGGGTCTGGTTGTTGGTCAGGATGGCGTCAGTGTCCATGAACTGCAGAGACAGCACAGGTTCTGGAGACGTGCAGAAGGCCACCTCAGCCCCCACCCACCAGTGCCCCAAGCCCCTTACCAGGATGTAGTCTGCCTGCTGCTCCCGGGCATAGGTGAGAGCTTCCTGCTTCAACTTCATCACGTTTTCATAGCGTTTGTCACTCCAGTGCTTGGGACCAAGCTCATCAGGATAGGAGCTGGGCAGGGGGAGGCAGGGGTTAACCTCACTTGCTGGGAATGCACAAACTCAGTGCAGGCTGTTAGTGCAGGCGGGCTGAGTCAGCCCCACTCTGCTTTGCTCCTCCTGGTCGCTGGCCAGGGAGAGTTGATGCTGCTCCAGGAACCCCTCAGCCCACATCTGCCCCCACCCAGCCTCACCTGGGCTCCTCTTGCACCTTCCAGGCCACCGAGTGATAGTCCTTCCCCACTGCCCCCAGCCACTCCTGCAGCATTGCCGTCGTGTTGTCCGAGTTGTGGTCTGTTGCACACCTGGGATAAGGGGACATCAGCCCCTGGGGGTCCTCCTCAAGGGACAACCAGGACCTCACCCTGCACTAGAAATGCTCACGGGGCCAAAAGACTGAGCCAGTGACAGACTTGCTTGGGAATGTAACATGTAATTTGAAGGAACCAAGGCTGTGCAGGCAGGAGGGGGAACACTAACTGGTAATTTCTTCCTCGGTGCCACTGCCAGCCAGGCTGTTCCACAGCTCCCACCCTGCATCCCAGTGGCAGCCCTGGACATGTTCTCCTCACCCCAGCCTTGTGACTGCCCACCATGAGCATTGCAGCACAGCCACTTTGTTCCCCTGTCCCTGCACCCCACAGTACCCCTGTGCATCCCACTGTTCCAGCAGTGAGAGGAAGACTCAACAGCAAAAAATCCCCCTTCCTGAACATTCCCTTTACTGGGCACCATCAGCATTCCCAACTCTCCCACCCGCCCTCAGAACAATGTTCACAGGGAGCCCAGCACAGACAGCTGAGCCCACCTTGCACTGGGCCAAACCCCAAGTTCCCACACCCCTTGGTACCCTCGACATGTCAGAGAGCCCCGGGACATCCCCCAGGCACTGGCGTCATGGGGATTTGACAGATTCAGGGGAGAAGGCAGCATCTGTATTCCCCCAGCTCCACGGGCTGCCCAAACACCCCGCAGGGTCCTGCGGCCAGGAGTTCCCAGGGGGTGCAGAGGGTAAAGGTGAGGATCCCCCTTCCCCTTCGCCGGCAGCTGACCCCCGCCCCAGCCCCGCCAGGATCCCCCCGCCAGCCCCCGCCTCAGCTCCCCCGCAAAAGCAGCTGCAGAAAAGTTTCCGACAAGTTCAGGCGAGAGACCGCAGTGGCGCAGCGAGGAGACAGAAGAGTCCTCTTCCAGCCAACCCCCAGCACGGTAAAGGGGGCTTGGGGGTGTCTTTGGGAAAGGGGGCCCGAGGGTGAGCCCTGCAGGGAGGGGGAAGGCAGCGCCTGTCCCTGATGATACAGAATCCCCTTGTGCCCAGGGGTCCCCTCCCTCATCAGCCCCATAGCTTCCTCAGGGGAAAGGTGAGGGTCCTGCCCCTTCCCCGCGGGGCAGCCCGAGCCCCTCCCGCTTCCCTGCTGGGTCCCACACACGGGCAGAGCCACCCCTAACATTTGGGGGGTCCCAGCTGGGGACGCTGCTACCAGCTGCTACCAGCGGGATCCCTGGTCCTCCCGAAGGTCCCTGCCCCCTAAAGATCCCCATTCCCCGCAGGCCCCCATTCCTTCGAATGTGTTCTGTCCACCCAAGAGCCCCCAGTTCCCCCACTCTCCCTAGTTCCCCCCCGCACTGTCCTCCGGATCCCTGCTATCCTCGGTTCTCCATTCTCCTCACAGTCTCCCTTAATCCCCGGACCCTCCTTCCCTCCCCCCCACTATTCCCATTCCCCGGGGCTCCCGCTATCCCCGCGGTCCCTGTGACTCCAGCATCCCGGCTCCCCCCGAGATGCCCATTCCCCCACAGCCCTCTCCTCCCCCAGGATCCGTGCTACTCTCCGCCCGCTCCCCCGGGGTTCCGCTGCCTCACCACAGGGCGATGCTGCCCGCGGGATAGTCCAAGCGCTCCAGGGCTCCCAGGCAGTGCGGCAGCGAGTGCTGCGCGTTCCGGGCCAGCAGGGCGAGTACCAGGCGCGGCGGCTCTGGCCGGGTCCTGGTCTCGATGCCGGTCCCGGTGCCGGTCCGGGTCCCGGTGCCCAGCAGCAGGAGGAGGGCGCAGAGCGGCCCCGCGGCGCCCATGGCGGAGGCGGCGGGCGGGGAAGGGGCGGGCTGGGACCCGCCGTGCTCAGCGCACCCCCCGCCCCCGCCCCCGGCCCGGCCCCGCCGCCGCAGCAAGCCCGGGGGGCCGGTTTGGGTCGGGCTTCCTTAAATAGAATCGATATCGGTGTAGAGCCCCGCATAGCCCGTGGCTGGGGGGCGAGACACCGGGGACACCCCGGGACCCCCTCCCCGAGGATGCTCCAGGGCATCCCCACGTGCCCGTGGCCTGGTCCCCACCGTGCCAAGAACGGCGTGGGTGGGCCGAGGGATTGGGGGGGGTTTATGGGTTGGGGCAATATGGCCAAGGGCGCTGGTTGCCGGGGGCAGCATCGCCAGGGGCTCATGGACAAGGGGATCGTGGCCGGAGGGTTTTGTGGCTGAGGGGGGCTTGTGTGGCGAGCGGTGGCTGAGGGGGCTCACGGCTGCCGTCCTCACCAAGGCAGCGCACCCCGCAGAGCCGTGTCCCCCCGGGCTGTCCTCCACGGCTGACCACAGGCGTGTCCGTGACGTGTCCGAGCCGCGGGCAGGGGCAGGCCCGGGGCCTGTGGGACGTTTGACCAAACCTTCTGGTTTTCCACCCAAGCCATAAATAAATCCTTGCTCAGCTCCCAGAGCCAGCGCAGGCCTGGAGGTGCTCACGTCCTGCAGGGCAGTGACTCCGTGCTCCCCACCAGCAATGCCGGGCACCTCTCACTGTGGCGGCACCAGAGCCCTGGAGAGGGACGGTGGATGCCATGCGAGGCCAAACCCGTGCCACCCGTGCCAGGGTGAGGGGTGCCCCAGGGGCTGCTGTCGCCGGCTCCCTGTGGAGCTCCATCAGGATGCAGCAGAGGGGTCGGGAAGTGAACAATCCAGGAACACCTGAAAGAAGCAACAGAGAGGGCGGGGGACTCAGGACCCGGCAGCCACTGAAAGGAGAGAAAAATGCTGTTTACAGCCCCGGCTCGGACAAGAATTTCGGGAAGGGCTCGGCGCCAGCGCAGCCGGGAATTCCCAGCCATTGAGGAGCTGCGGGAAGGGACAGGCGCCCGAGAGCCCAGCAGAGCCGGACCCACCCGTGTCCGTGTCGGGACCCCACCCGAGCGCATCCCGGCGAGGCTGAACGAGGGCAGCCCCTGGAGCTCGGCCCCGCAGCCCGGGAGGGGCTGAGGGCGGAGCAAGGGCCGCAGAGCAGCGGGAATGCCGCGGCCCCCCCGTCCCTCGGGGACACCCCGCGGCACCGCCCCCGCCCCGGGCCCCGCTCCCGGCCGCTGCTGCCACCTCCCGGCGCCGCCGCACTCTCGGTGGGGAGCCCGGGCTCTGCCCGCACTGGATCTGATCCCCACGTCCCCACAACTCTCTCCCCCTGCCTTCCTGCATCCCTGCATTCCATTATCCCTATATCTCTGATCCCCACACCCCTCCAGCCCTTCGCTCCTCCGTTCTTTCATCCCTGCTCTTCTTCACGCCTGCATTCCTTTTCTTCTTCATCTCTTCATGTCTCCATCCCTGCATCTCTTCCCTTCTTCATCCTGATATCCTCACATCCCTCCATCCCTGCACTGTCCCTCAGGGTCACAGCTGGACCTGCCCTTCCCCTGGCACCCAAGCACAGCCGTGGCCCCACTGCCCTGGTACAGCCCTCACCAACACTCCCCGGCCATGGGCTCCAGAGCAGAGAAGAGAGGGGGACACTGCCCTTCCCACAGCCCCATCACCCCCAAAGCAGGTGGAGGAATGGGGGCCACCACTGTGACATAGGGAAACTGAGGCACGAGCCAGGGCAATGTGCTGCACACAGACAGGCTGGGACTGCTCGAGGGACAGAGCAGTGCCTGTCCTCCCAAGCTCAGCTGGGGTCAGAATTATCTCTGCCTTTGCAATCTGCCTTCTCCTCACTTCCTGGCTGCTGCCAGTCTCACAATAGACCCTCAGAGCCCACTGAGAGCCAGCAAGTGGCACCTTACGAGCAGTTCTGGGCATACAATGGAAAACCAGCCCTGGCTGAGCTCGGGGAGAAGGGGGACATGGAGATACCTGTCAGGGCACCTGCTGTGTGGCCCTCAGGGTGACATTCTACCCAGCTCTGTGCTGTGGCTCAGCATCTCCATCTGCACCACGCTGCTAGCACAGGGATGTGACAGCTCCTGTGCCCCAGGAGCAGGACTGGAGGGCAGGTGACATGTCCCCACAGGGCCCCGGGTGTCCCCAGGGGGCTCAGGACATCCTCACAGCTCCATGCACTCATGGTGATACCTGAAATACAGAAATACAGAGCCAGCATCAGGCCTGCGCGCATCCTGCCTGGAAAAACACCTTCTTCCATCCCCAAGGCTCCAGCCAGGAGCAGCACTGCACAAAGTTTACAGGAGTATGTTTTCTTTTTTTTTTCTTTTTTTTTTTTTCTTTTCTTTTTTTTCAGGAAAAAGTTGCTTTTGGACCCAGGGATGAGGATTTTGGTTACCTCCCACCTCTCTCCACCCCTTCCTTGAAATTTTCTAGGATTTTCAGCAAAGCCTTTGAAAAGCTCCAGTTTCCTCAAACGTCCTATTTTTCTGCTTTAAAAGGCTCAACCTTGGTTGCAAAAGGCAAATATATAAAGATATGTGTGTGTGTATATATATGTATCTATAAATGCAGAAATTCTGTGTGTGTGTACATGGCCGAGGCCACTACAAGTCCCTCAGTCAACAAAACATTTTTATTAATCTTTTTTCACAAGAAAAAACATCCTGGGGACCCAACTAGCTGCCCGAAGTCCATGGTACCCCCAAGGGTCCCCATTCCCATGCTGTAACACTGCTCTCCCCTGCAGACATGCCTTCTCCAGACCTCCCCTGACTTATCCAGCCTCAAAACATCAGCTCTGTTTCCTGCTGGGGAAACTGAGGCACGGAGCCCTCCCCCTGCTTCTCAGCCTCCCAGCAAGTGCCTGTCCAGGGGGAACTCTGGACAGGGAGTGCCTGTGAATCCACCATGCCCTCTGCTATGCAAGCCCCTTACCCTGCACCGTTCCAGCTGTTCCAGATGTTTTCCCCACCTCCCAGCTGTTGGATAGCTCAGGAGGCCAGCGCTCCCCTCTCAGCTGGGTTTTCCTTCCAGGGCTCTGCTAAACCCATCACATCCATGGGCGCTGCTCCACTTTCCTCCTCTCAGGCTGCTTCTGCAGTGAGCAAGAACTACAGATCTTCCCACACAGAAAAAATCAGGGGAATTTACGCCATCTTGGAGGGATTTTGGCCATCCTGGGAGGGATTTTGGCCACCCGGGGGGATTTTGGCCCACCCAAGAGATGTTGTGCCAGAGGAGCTGGGGGCTGATGGGAACAGCATTCTCATCCTGGCTGTGGGGAAAGGGGATTTGTGCCACTGTAAATGGGGCAGTGACACTGCCAGCATCCCCCAAACCCCAGCACACTGGGAGACCAGCTGGGGTCTTCTGGTGGGCTGTGAAATTCTGGGGGTGTGAAGGCTTTCTGGGGGTCCTTCCTCATGTCCTGCTGGGAGCAGGAAGCCGTGCTCTGCTCCAGCTGCAAGGCACTGCCACCCTTGGAGCCACGTTCAGGCCCTGCAGGGGCCCAGTCCTGACCCTCCTGGGTGGCACAGCTGGTTCAGCCTCAGGATGGTCCCTTTTCTCTCCAGTCTGGGTGACATCTTTTGGCATCAGGGCCAGCAGCGCCCTGGCTCTGGCTGTCAAAGGGGACCCCAGCACCTGTCAGTGGGCAAAGGGACACCTCCTGCAGCAAGGGGAAACTGAGGCAGGAAACCAATGCTAGGCTGTCAACACGGAGAGGCTGCACACCCTGAGCTTCACTCCAGGGACAACAGGGAGCTGCCCTCTGTCCCCCCAGTGCCACATCTCAGACAGACAGTGACAGAGGGTACCCGATGGACCAGGTCCCCCCTGCAATGCCCTGACTGGTGCACGCCCGTCCCCTCCCTCCTCTCACCCCAGTGGGGCTGACGGTCGGTCCCGTCCCAACCCGGGGCAGCTGTGACAGAAAACAAAGCTGTCCCCTTCGGCACAATACCCTTCTGTCCCCCCCCAGCTGCTGACCGCTGGGGTGGGCAGCGGCCGGGCTGGAGGCGTCGAGGGGCCGTGCCAGGCCCCCGCTGGCAGGGGACAATGTTGGCAGTGATGGAGAGTAGGTATTTCAAAAGGTTTTGTTTTCGGGTTGACCCGCCGAGCCGGCGTGACCCCGCAGCCCCCCACCCAGCCCTGCTCCTCCGTCCCAATAGAAACCGGCCACATTCCTGACCTCGAGAGGGGGGGGGAAGTTTCAAACCTCCCCGGGAAGGAGACAATGGGGGTGTCAGGGCAGTGATTTAGGAGGGGGGGCTCTTTCCATCACAAAGGCGAGACAAAGGCGCTCGACGCTGGGAAAGGGGCTTCGGCGGCGGCTCAGGAGAGGGGCCGTGGTATTGTGCCTGGCCAGCCGGCCTCGGCAGCAGGGCTGCCAGGGCCTACCGGGTCCCACTGGGTCTCACTGGATCCCGCCGGGTCCCACTGGGTCCCACCGGGTGCCAGCAGGTGCCACCGGGTCCCATTTGGTCCCACCTGCCTCTTCACTCTGTACTGCAGCCTTCCCCGCGGCCACCCCGGAGAACATGGCCTGGTGGCTTCGTGGATGTCACCGTGCCCCGTGGTGGGAGGGAGTGAGTCCCCATCCCCACGTGGGATGGCTGAGGCACCCCCTGCTCCCCACAGCTCCCCATTCCCGCCCACGCTTTGGGCACCCCAAGTTCAGGGCTCCGACTGGGGCCGGGTCCCCCACGGACAGCTGTCCCTGACGGGGACAGACCCACCCAGAGCCCTGAGCTCCCCTCCCCACCAGCCCTCCCGGGTGTCCAGGATTCCATTCTCTGCAGTGGCCATTCCGGTTCCGAGAGCCGGCGAGGGATCAGCAGCTCCTCTGTGAGGAGCTCAAAGGGGCTTTGTGCACCCCGGGGCTGCCGGCACCCAGCACCACCGGCCCCCGCGGGCACGGGCACCGCGCCGTGCCCACC